TTTTAGTTTCACTTTGAATTTCATAAATGTATTCTGTTCATCAAGGGTGTCGAAACAGTAATTCATCATCCTCTTCCAACAATGCATACAATACAAACTCTTCTCAGCCATTGACATCATATAACCTGGGCTCATTATCTTCAGGATCTGGAGCCGGTGCTATTACCATGGCAGCAGCTCAAGCAGTACAAGCCACAGCACAGGTAAAAGATAAGTGCGTGTGTGCGTGTGTGTGCGCGTGCATATATGGTGGGGAGGGGATAAATTTAGGAAGCTTCCTATTTAGTGCTACTTAAAAAAAATGTATACTTTTATTTGGTTTGAATATTCACATCCACTTTCTGTTGACTTCAATATTTTCTTTTGGAAAATATCCTTTTTTATGTTAAGAGGGTCCTGTTTCATCCTAAGACTTTCATGAAATGGAGGCTGGTATGGCATTTTGTTTTGTTCATTCCTTCAGCTGATTCTATCGCTGTCTAAACTGGATAGCTACCATCAAAATAAAATAATTGCACAATTAGTAGTTAACAGGATAGCACTAACTGTAGGTGGTTATGTAGGAACTATACCATTTGAACACTTTTTTTCCTAATAATAGTATTTCTTTTAGATGAAGGAAGGAAGAAGAACATCCAGCCTGAAAGCCAGCTATGAAGCCTTCAAGAACAATGACTTTCAACTTGGTAGAGAATTTTCATTATCAAGAGACTCGTCTGGGTATTCATCATCAGCTTTGGCATCTACATTAACACAGACACTAGGTTCATCAAACACGGATTCACGGAGTGGTCGAAAAAGCAAGTAGGTTCTTTTGTTTTGGCATGTTTATATTTTGTTCAGCTGTGTTCAGAGTTGCCCTTGAGTGTTATGGCAGAAGAGTGCTAAAATGTAGATATTATGGGAGTTGGCTTATTTTAACAAAAACCCCCTAGATATTACCAGTATTAAGTATGGATATAACTGAGCTCTCTGTTAAATTGGATGGGTCATACTGGAAATATGTTTGTTCTTGTTGAATAGTCTCCTAGAACAAACTTCATAATCCGGCTATGTTTAAAATATTTCCATAGAAGAATGATTTAACTGTGTTGTTACCTGGAAAACTCCTTTTGATTCTAGTTCCTGGAAAAGGCACATTTCTACCAGCATTGGCATTAAGTTGATTGATCGTTTATCACATAATTTCTGTAACACATATTGTTAAAGCTAGGTAACTGAGGCATACAGCTTTTCAAAAGAGTTACCCATCTGTTTACAGCCTTTTGGTGCATGGAGGGTTTTGTTGGTGTTATGCACAGAACAAGCCCACATATTCTGTAGCTAGCTATAAATAATACTAACACTGTCATTTAACTAGCTTTGGTTAACTTATTCCAAGTTCAGATTATGGTATGGGTGTTACAGAAAAAAATTATTGATAAAGTGCTCTGGCCACAGCCTTATTAAACTGCTTGTCTGGAGAGGTCAGACTGGGCCCTGGAGTCAGCCCTTTGCAGCAGACCTGGGTGCAGGGACACCCAGGGCATGTAATACCACTCTCTTTTCTCCTTCCCACCACCTCCACCCCTCCCACAGGGAAATGGAGGAATTTTGCCCGGGTCATAAAACTCATTAGTTATGCCTCTGCTCCTGCATGCTTTACGTTTATCAGAAAATCCTAATACAGGCAGGAGTGTGTGGCAGCCCCCTGGTTGAGAACCAGTGAGGTCAGCAGTAGGGCCATGCAAAATTTCACTGAGTGTTTTGTTTCAAAGCTGTTTCAACACATTTTGAGTTTGAGACAGCAAAATCAAAATGAAACAAAAAGCTTCGAAACAGCTTTCGAAATGTTTTGAGTGCCCTCATTTCATTTCAGGTTTCAATGGAGCCTGGTGGCGGGGGGGCAGGGGAGAGCCAGGGCTACACTCCAAGCAGCTCCACACCCCTGTGGAGCTCAGCCCAGAGGCAGGAGGTGGAACACAGCCCTATCTCTGCCCACCTCCTGCTGCCAGGCTGTGCTGTGAGTGGTTCTGCATCCCCAGCAGTAGTGGCAGCCTCCTGTCATCCAGCACAGATCCAGGGGCCCACACCTCTGGGAGGAATCCAGCACAGCCCTGCAGTCCTCTTGGGGGCGCGGGCCCCCTGCATCTGCACCCATATGACAGGAGGCTGCTGCTGCCTCCAAGTGTCTTGAGTTTTGCTTTTGAAACTTTGAGGTGCAGTTTCTGAGTGAACTCTGCAGGCTTCATGCCCTCAAAAGGGGCTGCCATCCCTGCAGTTTGCATCTGAATCAGGCAACAAATTACAACGTTTTAGGCATTTTCATGATTCCCCATTGTAGCCTATGGGTGAAATGGCAAAACAGTTTTAACTGAACAAAACAGGACAGTGCTTCGAAACAATGAAATGAAACGTGGTCCCTTCAAAACGGCAAAACAGACGTCGAAATGATGGTATTTTGCACAGCCCTAATATGCAAAGGCAATACACAGTGGTGGTTTCCAACTTAGGGGTGTTGCCAAACTCAAAGAAGGTGTGAAGGGGAGCTTTTACTTTTATAAAAGGTTGAGACCACTGCTCTAACCCAAAACAAGTTTGGGGTTTTTTTTTAAATATTTCTTTGAAGGTGGTTTTCTTTTTACCGTAGAGCGTGTTTTAAACTCGTTCCACTTCATGGACTGGATCCCGATGTCGCAGTGACTAGGGATTTACACAGCCATTGTTTCCCCCCCACCTGCTGACATGCATTGTCAAGGGGGCTCCATGCTCTGGATTTCAGCAGAAGGCCCTGCATCTGCTAACTCATCCCCCAAATTCTTGGCCTCTCCACAAGCCTTATAGGCCACATACAGGCCATCAGTTTGACAACACTGCTGTAGAGTATCAGTGGTCGCACGTGTGGAAGAGCATGTAAAATGACTAGCTTCAAAAAGCAGTTGCTTAATGCATATTATGCACATATAATTTATATGAATGTTCTCTTTTCCTTCTAACTTGCAAGTTAGAATATGCATCATTGGCATTGATCTTTCACTGCAAGCAGTGCAGCTAAAGTTTAAATGTTTTTGATAGTTTTACACTGTTAAAATCCATCAATTGGAATAACATGTCCTTCTGTAGTGAAAAAAGACAGTCACTTTCTGATGATAAACCACTGCTGTATTTACTTATATGCACCTTTCCTCCCCCACAAAAATTACTCTTCCAGAATTGGGGTGTGCATCTTAAGCTGATTTTTTTTGGGGGGGGGTTCCCCAGTATAGAAGCATCTTACTTTGAAAGTTTAAATCCAGCTGCCTGACAACAGCACTGACATTTCTGTACAGGCAGTTGAGGGAATCAGTTGCCTTAGTGGATCACTGTTCTTCACTCTGCAGGTGTTAAAGATTGGTTCTCTTTTTTAATAGTCTTGAAGTTCCACTAAACACACTAACCTAATTCTGCCGTTTGCTAGTTACTTTTGGTCTCTTCTCCTATTTCACAACTCTGCTGACTGTTTTTAGCAATTTTCAAAAATTATATATCCACCTACAGAAACTAGTTTTCAGCGGAAGCTAGTTTCACCTTTTGGCTGAGCAGCAAAGGGAGAGTACATGACATGACAATTAGATTCTGTCACTCATCTATGCAGCCATAAATCTGGAAGAATCTTTTTCATCATTTTGCCCTCAAAACAATGTGCATGTGGTGTTGGAGGCACATAGTGCGCAAGAACATACAGTATTCTGTTTAAATTTTAGAAAGTAGCAAGAAACAATTTCATTAGCATGACATGAGCACTATAGCATGGGTGAGCACTTCAGACTTTCCTTTCAGCACTCATAGAATCATAGAAAATGAGGGTTGAAAGGGACCTCAGGAGGTCATCTAACCTAACCCCCTGCTCAGAGCAGGACCAGTCCCAACTAGATCATCCCAGCCAAAGCTTTGTCTAGCTGGATTTTGAAACCTCCAAGGATGGAGCTTCCACCACTTCTCTGGGTAACCTGTTCCAGTGTTTTACTACCCTCCTAGTGAGAAAATCCTAATATCTAACCTAAGCTTCCCTTGCTGCAACTTGAGACCCGTTGCTCCTTGTTCTGTCATCTGCCACCGCTGAGAACAGTCTAGCTCCATCCTCTTTCAAACCGCACTTCATGTAGTGGAAGGCTGCTATTAAGTCCCCTCTCTGTTTCTTCTTTAAACAAAATAAGCCCAGTTCCTTCAGTCTTTCCTCATAAGTCATGTGCCCCAACTCCCTCACCATTTTTATTGCCCTCCATGGGACTCTCTCCAATTTGTCCACATCCTTTCTGTAGTGGGGGGCCCAAAACTGGACACAGTACTCCAGATGTGGCCTCACTAGTGCTGAATAGAGGGGAAGAATCGCTTCCCTTGACCTACCAGCAACACACCTACCAATGCCAGCCCAGTATGCTGTTAGTCTTCTTGGCAACAAGCACACACTGATGCTTCATTCAGCTTATTGTCCACTCTAACCCACAGGTCCTTTTCTGCAGAGCTGCTACCCAACCAGTCAGCCCTCCAGGCTGTACTGATGCATGGGATTGTTCCATTCGAAGTGCAGGACTTCATACTTGTCCTTGTTGAACCTCATGAGATTCCTTTTGGTCCAATCCTCCAGTTAGTCTAGATCGGTCTGAATACTAGCCCTATCCATACTTTATCTTTGATAATGAACAGGTTTTGCTTTAAAAGACTTTTTACTGTATCTCTTCATCTTTCAGAAACAATAATAAGTCTTCAAGCCAACAGTCCTCGTCGTCTTCCTCCTCCTCCTCTTTGTCATCGTGTTCTTCATCATCTGCTTTAGCACAGGAACTATCGCAGCAAACAGCAGTAATACCAGAATCTGATTCTAACAACCAAGCTGACTGGACCTATGATCCAAATGAACCACGCTACTGTATTTGTAATCAGGTAAGTAGATGTAGAACTGCTTCTTCAATATGATATAATTTTTCTATACCACAGATGAGTTTATAGCTCAGCTTTCCAATGCGTACTTTTTTGTCTAATATTGTCAATATTTGCTAATTGGTGATGTAAACAAAGGCTATTGAAGCACTGGGATGCAACGGTAATGCAATACTTTGTTGCGACTCAAATCCAGATTCACAGCAACCAGTACATTGTACCTTGTCTTTTTTACAGGACATACTTTCCTCTTTATTGGGAGGAGGGGAAGGGAGAAGGAACAGTTTTAAACATACTCTCAAAATTTGAATTAATAAACATTTTTTTTGCAGCTGAATTTCCTTTGTTCACAGTCGGTGAACACAAATGCAGAGTTTATCACTTTACACCTCCACGTTGCATTTTGGTTCCTATTCGACCTAGAAGAGCCCACAAAATGCCGACAGACTCTCCCTGTTCCTGAACGGTGCTTGTGCTCGAAAGCTTGCAAAGAACAATTTTTCCAGCTATTTAGTTGGTCTAGTAAAAGATACCACATCTACCCAATGAACTCTGTCTGCCTGTGTCCTTAGACCAGTACAGCTACAACCAACAACCCTGAGTTTATTGCTTAAAATAGGCAATTTCAGGGAGAAAGAACATGGGGAAATGGTCCCATTGGATCTGTGTTTCATGAAAACAAGCTTCTATAAAACTAAGGATGAATAACAGTGTTTTCAGAATTTCATAAAATTTAATGAAAGAATTTTGCTTTTTTAAAAACAAACACGCGTGCTGTCTGGCATTGTTGTAAAACGTGCACCTGACAGGGAAACTAAGGACATTCTTTTCATATTTGTCAGCTCAGACTTCAAGCAGTGTTGATCATTGTCTGTGGTCAGATAGAATTGTTCACTTTTCTTATTCAACCTCAGATATTCATAAAATTCATAACATGACTTTTATTTTTGCACAAGACATTTGATCTCCAAAATCATTTGGTTTTATAAATTGATAGCAATGATGCACTGCTTTGCAAAAGATAACTAGTTGTATTCCTTTAACTTCTGTCAATAAAAAAAATATTTTATACAAAAATTAAATAATGTTGTAAATTCTAATAAGTCACTATATTAATAGTTAAATCTTACTCTTTAACTTAGGTATCGTATGGTGAAATGGTGGGCTGCGATAACCAAGATGTAAGTAACAAAATGCTAAAGACTTGTGGGATGAGGGTTGTGCTTCTACACTGTGTGGGGCTTTTGTGTGCAAAACACTGCAACTCATGTTGGCTAAAATAACTTTTCTACGTTTCAGTCTAAAGTGAAAACTAATAAGTACTGATATTTTTTCAAAAGCTAGCTTAAAAGTATGGAAATGAAAAAAATGATTGCAGCACAGTAAAGTAGAGAAGGAAAGGGAATTGCAATAGAAATTTCAGGAAGGAAAGATCAGCATCCTGGTTATGGTTTGTATTCCAGTATTCACTGTGTTTCTGGTTTTGTTGGGGAGGGGGCTTGTTTCATAGTTTCTAGGGTTGGAAGAGACCTGAGCAG